AGTAGACATGTGCATGTTTATTGCAGCAATTTCTATGATATCAAAAGATGTAAACCATAGAAATCCAGTCTATAAAGGAACGGATAAAGAAAACCTGATCCATATACACAATGGAAGTGTATGCATCCTTAAAAAACAACGATGAGACTGTCAAGCACCCCATGACATGGACAAAATTGAAGGGCGTGATGCTCGGCAAAGTTTATCAAGCTTATAAAGATACAGATTCCATGGCACTATTGTTATCAAGGAAGACAGAAAAAGATTGGTTTTCACACCACAGGAAAGGACTATGAAGAGGCCAGGCTGGGTAGGGGAACAGGTAGGGAAGGAGGGCGGTTGGGCGGGAAAAGAAAATAAAGAGGAGGAGGAGGAGGAGGAAACGAACCATAATGAGGGGGCTGGGGCGTGGTTACTGTGACGCTGTCACTGTTTTGATGGGATGGGCTAAAAAAGTAAATATAAATCAAAGCAAAATGATTCTTCTTTTTTGGAAAAGCAAAATTCTTAAGGTCGATATTCTCACTAGGGAAGCTGGTGTAAAGACCTCAGGACATGTCTTTGGCTTAAGGCTTCGGGTTGACTACTCCAGCAGTGGTTTCAGGGGTTAACAGAAGAAAGACATGGCATTAGGTCAATTAACTGGGATGTCCCATGAAATCATGACCCTAACCCTCCAAATCAAGACACCAAATCCTATTTGTAAAAAAATGTTTATTTCCCCTGAAGGGGGTGCCCTGTTCCTGGAAACACTGCAATACCAGGTCGATGCATGGAGTGGACGGAGCAAGCTCCTATTCCATCTCCCTGCTCCAAAAATCCATTTAATATATTGTCCTCGGATAGAGGATGTCTCAGATATTAAACTGATCAGAACAGGTACTACACTGGATCACAGCCAAAAGGCCGAGACGCGATCAAGAAACCAAATCCTATGAACTGTTTGGTTGCACATAAGTAGGCGCTGCTTTTGTTATTGTTGTAAAACAACTAGCACACGCATTTTGCCAATTCAACTTTTTGAAATATACAACTTATTAGAAAAGGCCTTAAATATAATACATAAGGGAGGTACACCTAAACAAAAAAGTATAAGCACTTCCTAAAGTTCGTTCCCAGAGAGCCCATGGTGCATGGTAAGCCCTGTCTTACCTTTGGAGATGACAAACCTGCTCATGATACGTGGACCCGCTTACAAATCTTACTCCCTCTCTTTCAAGGGAAAGTTCCAGGCTTCCTGCTGGGATATAGGAGGCCTAGGTCCACTGTGGCTGCCTTCCTATTCCCCCTCTCTCAGCCCTGCTTCATCTCTCCCATGATGCGCCATGCATGCCACCTGCATACCTGTCTGTAAGCTGTACCCTCTGCTCAGATTCCCCTCCCCTTGTTTACAGGCTTCTTCCACCCGTAAAGGTCCAAGGCCAGTTTTTCTGCACCCAAAACGTTTCTTCATTCACTTGGCCTGGCTTCCTTCCTCTTACCACCATGCCTACAAGAGTATTCCAACCTTGTTAAAGTCCAAGGACTAAGTTCCTGAAAACCTCTCAAAATTTGTCAATCTAATAACGTAAGGTCTTTATGAGAAGCAGAATTAAAGATGGCAAGGTCCCAGAGTTATAAAACAGCCTTATTTTGGCCTTATTCATTTTACATAAGATTAGTAGCATCTCTGCCCACAGTGTTGTTACTGTGTGCAGTGAGTTGGCTCTGAC